GGGCGCCAGCCACACTGCTGCACAAGGTGTGGGAAGAGCTTCAGGCAGCCCTCCAGCCTGGCCAGGCACAGGTGCATGCACACACGGGAGAAGTCACATCATTGCTCTGTGTGTGGGAAGAGCTTCATCTCCTCTTCCAAGCTGGCCCAACACCAGGTTGTCCACACAGGAGAGAAGCCACATCAGTGCTCTGTGTGTGGGAAGAGCTTTACCCGGTCCTCCTCCCTGACCCGGCATCAGCGCATCCACACAGGGGAGAAGCCGTATCAGTGCTCTGAGTGTGGCAAGAGCTTCACCCAATCCTCCTACCTGGCCCAGCACCTGCATGTCCACACAGGGGAGAAACCATATCAGTGCTCTGAGTGTGGGAAGACTTTCAGCAACCTCTCCAGCCTGACCCGGCACCAGCGCATGCACAAAGGGGAGAAGCCATATCAGTGCTCTGAGTGTGGGAAGAGCTTCTCTCAATCGTCCTCCCTGGCCAAGCACCAGCGCATTCACACAGGGGAGAAGACACATCAATGCTGTGAGTGTGGGAAGAGCTTCACTCGATCCTCCCACCTGGCCCAGCACCAGTGCATCCACACAGGGGAGAAGCCACATCAGTGCTCTGAGTGTGGGAAGAGTTTCAGCTTTCTCTCCAGCCTGGCCCGGCACCAGCGTGTCCACACAAGGGAGAAGCCATATCTCTGCTCTGTGTGTGGGAGGAGCTTCACTTGCTCCTCCAACCTGGCCCAGCACCAGCGCATCCACACAAGGGAGAAGCCATATCTCTGCTCTGTGTGTGGGAAGTGCTTCACCCAATCCTCACACCTCTCCCGGCACCAGCACATCCACACAAAGGAGAAGCCATATCAATGCTCTGAGTGTGGGAAGAGTTTCAGCATCGTCTCCAGCCTGGCCCGGCACCAGCACATGCACAAAGGGGAGAAGCTACATCGGTGCTCTGAGTATTGGAAAAGCTTCCCCCATCTCTCCCACCTGTCCAAGTATGAGCACATGCACACCCAGAAGAATTCCTAATTCTGCCAGCAGTGCAGGAAGGGCTTGGAGATGTCTGCTTGCTCAGCACCCACCAGTGGTGCATTCAAACCAGCTCCCTCATGCTGGTGGCCTGCAGAAAGAGTTCCCCCAGGCTTTGCCCCTTGTAGGAAACTATGGGAGTCCAGAGCCCAGACGCTGGCCCCCAACATATGGTTGGGGGCGGGGGCTAAGAGGAAACACCTCAGGCAGAGGTCAGCCCCAATGTGGGGGGAGGAGACGAGGAGGAGATGATCTTTGCATCAGCCTTGGAGCCTGCGCATTCCCCATCCTTCTCTAACAGTATTCCCAGGGGAAGACGTGCCTTCTCCCAAATGGGGCACCTGATACCTGATGCTGGCATGGGTGCTGGCAGCGGTGTGGAGATCCTGCTCTTCAAAGGGGGAAGACACCCCCCTGGAGCTGGCACCATGCACAGACTGCCCCACACTCCCCCAGTCATCTCCATGGCTGGAGAGGATGCTGAAAGTCTTCCCACACTCAGAGCAGGGTGCCTTCTCCCAGATGGCTGACTTCAGATGACACCCGGGGACTTTCTGTGGCTTCCTCCCAGCTTTCTCCTTCCTCCTGGTCGAGGGGTTCTGGTATGTGAGCCCCTGAGTTGCAGGGAGGAGTGCATTTATGGCTGGGGAAGCGTATGGGGGGCGTGCTGCCCCCCTGACCTCCTCCCCTTTGTTGTATTCTCTCTCATGCATTCCCTGCTACTAAAGCCCCAGAACTGGACATGCCCCCCCTGTGGTTGATCTCTGTGTCCTCTCCCGAGCTGTGCAATGGGAACAGACCAGGGTCCACAACGCTTTCCAGGGCAGATCTCTCTGTGCCTTCCAGCCCCTTCCCTTTCTAAATGATTCACCACAATGCAGAGGTTGTTGCTAACCCTTGGGAGCAGGAGCTGGTCTGATCTACCCACCCTGCTGCTAACTGACTAGCTGCTCCCACCCACTTCTGCCCTCTTCCCACAGCAGGACCCAGAGCTGGGTGAGCCAGCATCACAGTGTGAGCAACCCTGGGCAAGCGACTGTCAACTGGCTCAACAGGTGCCCCAAGCCAGCCCCGTCTGCCCTGTTCCTGCCCTCACCCACCACAGCCACCCATCTGCACCACGGAGGTGACTGGGGGAGTGGGGGGCAGTCTGTGCATGGTGCCGACTCCAGGGGGGCGTCTCCCCCACTTGGGAGAGACGGTTCTC